CCACAATAAATTTTATGAATGTCTGGATCTCGGCGTCTGTGAGGTTGAAATTCGTCGAATTCATGTCTGGGACTGGGTGTTGTTCATTAAAGGGATAATCACTCTTCGTTTTGGCCAAAAAATGAATTTTCCTGGAGTAAACAACAATTTTCCCATACTTACCAATGGTTAATGAATCCATTTTTGCATTCAAAGTTAGTCAGTGGTTTTTTTCTAAAAAGTTTGGTTTTTCATTAAAATCTCTTAAGAGATTATAACAGAGTACAGCCATCAATGGAAGTCACGTGATCTGAAGACAAGCTCAGATACCAGAATAATAGCTATAACTGCTGTTTTTGTGGCAAAACAGAATATATTATATTTCTATGAGTTGTTAANAAATTGCCCAAGCCGTCTCAGATACTACTGTGTCTACTTTTTTTCGGCTGCTTCTACATGTACTACTCAGGGGCCGTCTTCTGGCCTGCGAGGGTTTTCCGGAAGCCGGACAGAATTTTAAAGTTTACAGTGTTGGGCATCTGCTTTTTTTCTATAGGAAGACAGTCAAAAATGGGAGATGGATCAACAAAGATAATTTGGCGGACTGTCATAAAATATCTCTGGATCCGCCCCTGAAGCTACTTCTGGAACCAAACCGTTATTTGGATTTTTCGGAGAACGGACTTACATGCAATCAAACCCATCGTCAACGCAAATGTCCTCCACAATGGTGTAGTGACATTGATCAATGCTGCAGGCACCTTCCAGTCGCTGCCATCCCTGCACTGAAACGATAGTCATGAATTCAAAAGTATGAAATGATGCAGTCTCTTACTGATCTTAACAATACCAAAATCCTTCTACACTGTGGAATATGCAGAACCCCATGAATATGAAGTGACCCCTGACATAATGGCTTAATTGCTGTAGAATAGGCTGATGCAGCCTGTATTATACTTAATAGTGTTTCAAAGTCCTGATTACAGTACTAATGGTGATACACTAATACTAATGACATTATTACAATCATAAAATTGATAATAATAAATTGAACATTATTATCCATTGTTGGGGCAATTACCGTAGTGAAGTTCATGACAAGACACACGTGATGCATTAAAATCCTGTAATCGCACGCAGCATTTCGTCAGCTTGGCTGCATGCACTCACCGCGTCCAAACGGAACTTAGTTGAACTTATCGAAATGGTGCGTGTATTCATAAAAATACTAATACCAGTACAGTTATCACTGAGTCCACGTTATTAATGAACTATGACAATTTGACAATTATTTAATATTTTTGCATGTATGAGTATTACCACAACGGTGCAGTTTTCTTAACAGACAACAGCATGGCCCCTACGCTCTTTGTACTTACCCTATCGGCTATCAAGTTGATCAACAGAGATACACGTACAATAAGGATATTAACAATAAACAATCCAGATACTTTCACATTGAATCAACTTACGTTGATATAGGCAAATGTCTATATATTCCCCAGAAATGTGGTCTATGGAAAAAAGGACCTTGTGAAATCACTGCGTGGTGTCAGGCGACAGCCGGAAAATTTCCAATATATCTCTATTTAAAACCTCGAACAAAAAATAACTTAGCAAAAGGACATTCCTTACTTATCCTGTGGTCCTCTCCACATTTGAGGCATCTTGTCAGTCGTGTATTCTTCTTCCCACAAACAAGAGTCCCTGCACACAGGACAAGGGCGAAAACGAAGAGGCGCATACTGGTATATAGTCAGATTGGAGTGTTGTCTCTGAATGAGTCACTACGTTGAGATTAGTTTATTTTTTAGGCAACGTAGATCCGTGAACGTTGATGGGAACATTTCTATATACCGGATATTGTATATTGTTTTATTTTCTATCTTTTTTTCGGATACCTCCATTATAAGCAGATGATATTTTATGGTGTATTTTATTTCCCGATTATGTTAACCCAACCAACCAACCATATTACCTTCCCTGCCTTCCACAATAAATTTTATGAATGTCTGGATCTCGGCGTCTGTGAGGTTGAAATTCGTCGAATTCATGTCTGGGACTGGGTGTTGTTCATTAAAGGGATAATCACTCTTCGTTTTGGCCAAAAAATGAATTTTCCTGGAGTAAACAACAATTTTCCCATACTTACCAATGGTTAATGAATCCATTTTTCAATTCAAAGTTAGTCAGTGGTTTTTTTCTAAAAAGTTTGGTTTTTCATTAAAATCTCTTAAGAGATTATAACAGAGTACAGCCATCAATGGAAGTCACGTGATCTGAAGACAAGCTCAGATACCAGAATAATAGCTATAACTGCTGTTTTTGTGGCAAAACAGAATATATTATATTTCTATGAGTTGTTAACAATGTTTTTTATTGTGAAATAAAGATATCATACGAAGAGTTATTATCCCTTTAAGTTCTTCTGGAGGTTGATTAGCTGCTAGTCAATCAAGTGCCTCTGCCTGATAAGAATTATTCTGTTAAAATCTCCAGTCGTTAAGTAGTTTTTTTTTTTTTTTTAATTTATTGTTAAATTTTCGAGACACATATTCAGCGGCCCAAGGCGTTTGGAAGTGATTCTGAGAATTTCATTCATCTGATTTACAAACAAACAACAGCAGGAAGAAACCTTGGGAGTTTTAAAAGGGCAGGTGTACTGAATCTGAGAGTGAGCCAAAGTCTGCTTCTATTTTATATGGATTTTATAGATTATTTTTGGAGATAATTGATCTCAAGCTTTCTTAAATTTATGGTCTATATGGGCGTATAGCAAATTTATGAAATTCATTTAAAATGTTGTTTTTTTGCGTTATAGTTGCTTATAGTATGGTATTCTTAAGTCGTTTTTTTAAAGTTGTTTTCATGTTTATTTGTCAATCAATGTACTCGTGTATTTCTTATGCTCAATAAAGGAACATACATTTATATATATGGTAATGCAAAATTAAGCTGGTTGTTGAAGCACATTATTCATCAACTACATGTACCTGTATTTTTTGTGCATACCTTGGTTCTTCTAATATTCTCCTCAATGGTTTCCATAGCTCGCTGATGTCCTAAAGAAGCTGTTACCTCTGGTGCAAAATTATTAATATGCAAAGCAGCCATCTTGTCTCTGAAATTTATTGGCGACAATATAATAATAATAATAATAATAATAATAATAATAATAATAATAATAATGTTTATCTGCAAATAAAATAGGGTGTGCTCATACATATCTTATAACATGTGTTTATACCGTGTACTGTAGTTATCTCCTGTAGGCGACGCAGCTTGTCTTTATTTGAATGCATGGTATAAAATAAGGATATTTTCACCGCTTTTTTTTTGTATTTCCTGCACCATTAATCATGTCAAATATAGTATAATAAATTTAATAACACGTGTGATGTGAACATTTGTAGATAAAAGCATATGAAAATTTTGGTGGGACAACCTTATAATGACCAATGGTGTGTGTGTGTGTGTGTGTGTGTGTGTGTGTGTTAAGTTCGCTGCTTTCAATACCTGAAATATAGGCCTAAGACCCCATTCCCAGAGATTAGATCGATCCAACTAGATCGACCTAACTCCCTGGGGGTTCACGCTAAATAGCTGTCAGCCGAGCGGGCACGAAAGTTAATTACCCCCTTACAGCTTGTAGTAGGCGCGACGGACATTTAAGCCGGATTATCTGACAGTAATCTAGTGAGACTCCCCACGGGGATAGATCGATCTAAAATAAATGGGAATGCGCCCACACATCACCGTGAATTAATACACATCACCGTGAATTAATAGCGCTGCCACAGGAAGGTGCGTTTACAATTCAAATCTTCACGAACTCTTTATCCTAACTGCGGGCCAAGCCCAGATATATAGTATGGAGCTTGCGGAATCAGCCGAAGATTGCCGATTGGTGCCATAACCTATATAATACACAGAGCCTAAACCTGCGAAACTATTTTGCTTCGACCCTTATATGGGGCAAACGAGCCTTTTGTGAGGCTCCCATAGGGTATTTTTGTTTCCTGTGAAAGCCTGTATATAAATGTTTCCTCCAGAAACGTTCATTTTCTTTTTGCGTGATTCGTGGATAAACCCATTCTCGTGAATCGTAAATGCGGCTTCTTATTCTTCATCTTTTGTGTAACGAAATCATTATACCCGGTGATTCTTGATTTTCAGGATTATTGACGCGCATTATCAGTGAGATATTATTTAAATTTTATTTCCCGCGATTTGTGAATTGATTATTTAGTGCCCGTGCCCTGTGACCACTACCCCCAAAGGGACCCTCTTTTGTCTGCCAGATACGAAACGAAAAGCCCACAGAAAAAAAACCCAAGGCATTGAAGTTACAGGAAAAGTGACGCTGAGTCATGCATTTAACCTGGTTTTCCAGACAACGAACTTTTTTCAAGATTTGCCTCCCCCAACCCAAAGCATTAATTTCTCCCGAAGGCCTTGAAGATATAGAAAACACTATTCAAATTTACGACGGACACTAAACCATATAGCATTCCAACCACAGTAATACGATATTGATTTAGACGAAAAAATAAATTGTACATCCGTGTACAGCCTATATAACGTGTTCGGCTTTGAAATGGATTTTTTTTTCAAATATCTTTGCATTAAAAAGTGCATACGAAACGAAAAGCCCACATAAAAATTCCAAGGTATAGTTGTAGAACAAGTACTGCTGAGTCATGCATTTAACCCGGTTTTCCAGAAAACGGACTTTTTTATAGTTTCACTTTCAATAACATTATTCGTGCCATTATTTCAACTGTAGTTAATGGGCTTGCTTATCGCTACAAATGTAAACGAACATCTGGTCAATTACTTTGTACGCTGGAATTATAAATCAGTCGAAAAATATACAGGCTATTGAAAATCAGTAGTTTTTCTTTTGAAAATCAACAGTTTTTCTTTTAAGCAAAAAACGCTGGCGACTGCTGATAAATAAATGCATTTACCATCATTGTCAGGAAGGCTGGGGTGTAGACGGATACAAAAGAAAAGCAGCCGCACTAAAAATATTTATTGCCTCATACTTGTACACACAAAAAATTCAAAATATGACACTGAGCAAACAGTTTCTCTTCTCTCTTTCTTTCTTTAACGCCCACTTTGTTTAAAGACCAGAAAAGAATCTCTTTAATGGTGAAATCTAGCAGGGAGCAGTCCTATTCTGTATAAAACTACACATTTTTAAAATACTGAATGATTTGGTGTACTTATAGGGGACAGTTTGTATATGCAGTGGAATCACGGGTTATAAAATAGTCGCTAGGTGTACTTATGAGGCATTCTTTTTTCCAAAAACCCAAAGTTCAGGTACAATGTATAAGTATTTGGATGAACCAACCTCAATGTGGCAGATAATTAATATTGCTCATTATATTGAGGGCCTAATACACTATAATAACTTTTTAGATAACAATACTATTACTTCTGCTACTGGGCCACAGGTATCAGAGAGGGAGGGCGGTGGCTGGGGGGAAATTCCTTATCCTTTGTCTAAGCTCTTCGAGAGTCTCAAACACAGCACCTTGTCTTCAGTAGGCGTCTACATGTAGACGAACGTCATGTACAGTAGGTACTAATTGTCAGCATGCATTGTACATACCCCCCCCCCCACACACACACACAACACCAAGAATTAATTTCGCCTAAGGCCCTAAAGATTTGGAAAACACTCTTCAAAATTACGACGAGCACTTAAATATAGGGGCCTATAGAGTTACAAGCATAACTATAGGTTGTTGATTTAGACGAAAAAAAAATTGTTCGTGCATATATTGCCTATGTAAAGTGTTCGGCTGTAAGATGGATTTTTTTCAAATTATCTTTGCATTAAAAAGTGCATACGAAACGAAAACCCCACAAAAAAAAACAAGTAAAAGTAAAAGTATTTATATATCGTTGTAGATCACGTACTGCTAATTCATGCATCTAACTTGGTTTCACTTTCAATATCATTATTCTTGCCAGGATTTCAACTGTCAGTTCTAATTCACTACTGTGCGTCTATTACGGCTTCCCCAACATCTTCTATGGAAGGTACATAGTTGATGGAATCTATCACCCCCTCTTTGTAGAACCCTTGGAGAGCTTTCACGCGAAAGAAATTCTGAAGCAGTTGGACAGACTTAAGCCCGAGATCTCTTTCTACAATTTTCTCTTCGTGGGTGGTCCATTGGAAAAGACCAAAGACAGCGCTGTGATTCTTCTCCGTGACGATCCTCTGCGGGGCGATCTTGAAGTCCATTTTGTACAGGACGTACATACAGTCGACGGATAGACCGTCAGCGGACTTTCCGAAGGCCACCATCCCGTACCTGGCTCCCGACTGATCTTTCTTGTTGAACTTGAATTCCATGATCTTGTAGTGCCAGTCTTCGGACCAATGGATTCCGTTCATTTTCTCCCGCATGTCGGCGTCTATGCCTGTAGCAATAGAAAGATAAAAAGGCACATAGGCCTATTTAGTCTAAAAATGTTTTTGAAAGATCCATATTCATAAGCACTCAGCTATTTAGCTTGGCTACACGTACGAGAAAAATGTATTTATTTGTTTGTTTGTTTTCAACTACCTGTCTATTTATTTATCTGAAAACTGATAACTTTTTGCTTGACTGTGATTTATCAATTTATCTGTCTGTTTAATC